AGCTTTTGTGGTTCCCGAGTTGAAAGTGCGGGACAAAATGTGGGGCACACACACAAACACACACACGCACAGACAACCCGGTGACAATATGCGTTTTGTAACGCTGTTACACAGCACAAAACGCATAATAACCTCTATCTCCAGTCACGGCAGTTGCCTCCCGCCCAGTTGAGTTGAGCTGAATTGGCCGAGTTAGTTGTGAGAGTGTGTGCCTGCCTTCTTTCAACTGGCTTACTGAATGAATTGAGCTTTCGATGTGTTTGTTCCACTTACATCCATGTCGCATGCTGGGCATAAGCAACAGTCCAGTGGCCGCGTTTCGTCGTTCAGAGAATTTGGCGAGGATGGCAGTTGTTGCTGATTTTAATTTGTTTCAGGATGCAGGTGATTCGCAGCTGAGATTGGCCACGATGGCGCACGGGGCAGCAGTATGTTCGCAGGATTCGCCGGACGTGTGGTCGATGGTGGAGTGCGGTCAGCTGGAGGTGGGCGGTGTGGCGGACCTCGACTTACTGCTGCCGAACGGCTTCCTTGTGAACATGCGCTGCCCGATGGACTCGACGCTCGCTGCACTCAAGCAGGATCTCTTCGTACAGGCCAAGAAGTACGTACCATCGCTTTTTTTTTCGGCGTAAATTTGCGAGTTTGCTTGTTTTTTGCCACTGCGGGGTCTTCTACTGATAAGCAACCTCCAGAAATTGACTTCCGATATTTTGAAGGTCGACACGCTTACTTTGTTGAAGACCACTTTTAATGCCATCGTAGCGCATCTTTGTCCTAAAGTGGCACCAGGACGCGAAAAAGCGACGTTCTGTTTCCAATAAGTGGTAGCGCTGAAGCAGACCCGGGGACCGAACCTTACCGGGCAGACCCTTGGAAGAAGTGGATAGCCTTGCCATCCGACTGTTAGCTGTTGTCGCCTTATTGGCCGTTCGTGCTCATTTCAGGCTTCCGTTGTACGATCGTTTGCTGGCCCCATCCGACTACATATTTTACACGATTGGCACAAACGGTGAGCGTGAGGAGCTGTACGATGAGTCGCGTTGCATATTTTCGCTTCGTCTCTTCGTGCCTCTGCTCTCTCTCATCGAGCCCGAAGGCAATCGCGAGGAGAAGGAATTGGCACATGACATTGGTAAGCATCGTTTATGCATCATTTTTATTCGTTTTTTTTAAACACATCCTTATTTGTGAATTATGATTAAAAGTGAACATGAAAATGTCAAAATACTCGTTCTTTTTTTTTTTCGTTCTTTTTGAGAAGCAA